GGGCCTGATTCTCATCCATTAATATCAGTAGTTCATACTACTTGTATTGCAACTCTCTGTATAATATCCAGTACATTGAATCTGCTGTTGACCGCAGTAAAATAGCAGTGGAGTTTCAAATAGTAAGTCATACTGAAAAAATAAACGTAATGGTCAATTAACAAAGCAAGCACAAAAGTAAATCTGAAGTAATGGGAACTTATTTTTAAACAGTGTTGTTCAATAAATCAACCGTTTATGTTTTCATCCTATCAGTCCATGTATTTCAGTCAGTCAGTCATCCATCTTGTCTTTTTGTCCGTCCGTCCGTCTGTCTATTCGTCTGTGTGTTAGTCTATATGTATGCCTGTCCGTCTGTCTATAAATCTGTCCGTCCGTCCATCCGCCTGTCTATCTGTCCGTCCGTCTGTCCGCAAGTCTCCGTGCAAGTCTGTCATCAAATCTATCTTGCTATCTATCAGGTATAAGCACCACTCTAAACAGACATGCATTTTAATTCCATACAAACCTGTGTTAGAATCTGTTGCATATGTTTTCGTCGCTGCTTTTTTGCGGATAATCTGTAGACACATTGCTATAGCATGCATTGTTTGCTGCGCATGCCGTGTATGGTGGCGGTTCGACCCCTGACTGAAATAGACTTGAATAAGGCGGTGGTTGTTCTGTAGGGGCATGGCTCGATTCTTTATCATTTGGCTGGGTGATCGGTGTATTGTTTCTTGGGTAAAACAGAGGGTTCAGGTTTGTGAAAGACGCGTCATCTCGCTCATGTCTTGTGGTGACACCTGGTGTTGACTGAGGCGTGACGCCAACTCTACCGTTACGCATGGCTTCATTTTCTCGTTTAAGCGCCTTTAGTTTTTTCTTGTGATAACAGCAATAGACAGCCAGTGAAGATATGATAACGACAGCAACAAATGGTATGACTGTTATGCAGACCATCAACGTTGTAAACGTGTCGTGGTTAGATGTGTAAAATGCAGGCAGTGTTGTTGGCAAAGAGGGTGCAGTTTTTGGAGATTCAGTTGTCAAAAATGTCGTTAGGTGTGTAGTTTGGAAGTACGTTGGTGGTGTTGAAGTTAAATTAGGGGATGGAGGTAAAGTTGTTAAATAAGTCGTTAAGTATCCCATAGTGTTATTGGTGGCTGCGGAAGAATAAATATGAGATTAGTTAGGCATAATGAAATTTGTAAATATTTTTTTGTAATCAACTCTAATGTCTCCATATTAACACAAATTATTTATATATATAAATACTGTTCACAAAATATGTAACAGTCATTATAAGTACTATTTCTGCAATTAATTCGAAACATGAGAAAAAAATCATGAAAGCGATAGGTTTAATATAACAATCTGATCACGGGAGGGGGAGGGGGGGGGGGACGACAATTTTAGGTAGAGTGAGAATCAGGAAGACTTGAAGCTTTGACACGGCGCAATATTTCATTGGAGAATTATGATTTAGATTCAGAATGTCAGGGTGGGTGTAACGGACAGATGGAAGAGCAGGCATGAATCACGTAGATGCGAGGGTGACTGGTGTATAGACGGGGGGATGGGGGGAGGGTTAAGGACACGAGGTGTGTGTGGACATGCTTTGGTAACTTGGTATTAGGATACGGATATATATGAAGATAGGAGAAGGGGATTTAGAATGTTTAGAGGAAATTTTTTCTCTTTATGGAACTCGGCCGAGCTGTATTTGTTTTAGTAAGGACGTTGAAAGGAGAAATTTTCGAGACGTGAAGACCTTGTGCTTAGTGTTAATTGAATTCTGTTTCAGTAGAAAGTAAACGCCATGTTTTCAAGCTTTTTGTGGACACTTTCCTAGAGACAACAGATACAGCACAAAAATAGAAGGTATTATAACAAGCCAACTCCAGCGCTTATGATGAATGTCTTTTACTGAGCACTGTCACCAGCACCAGTCTCCACTACTCTCCACTGATATATATATATATATATATATATATATATATATATATATATATATATATATATATATATATATGTATATATTTACATAATTTAAATTTAGGAAATTTGCCTGTGGAATTTCGTTATTTAAAATTTTTAATAGGTTTTTAATAGGTTCCATAGTGGGGGATTTTACCCCCTACCTTTAATAACCTCTACCTACCTCACTGATGATAAATAATATGTGTAAGATCCCTAACAGATTCTCATTAGACCTAGATTAAACAATCTCAAATTAATGCATATTTTGTTACATCTTATTAACACACGTTTTCACAACTAAACATCATAAGAATCGTGGTGTTATTTATTTAATATCAGCTAATAAAGTTTTCTAGCTTTAGAAAAAGAATAAGAAAACGTAAAAAAAAAATCAAATCTGCAGGTTGTTTGATAATTTAGTACATGTACTGCACAGTTGATTATCACAGTATTTATTTGCCAAATTATATGCACAATTTTTTTCTTAAAAATATTTCTAATCACAGCCATAAATATTATACAACAATAGACTCTTCAATCTGACACGACGAAAACCAAAACACATCCTACCTGCTGACAAAATAAACAAATATGTCGGACGTCGCGTCGCCTAGAAATACCTTGATGGGGTTTCCCGGTCGATCTATTTATAGTAACGTAAACAGTGAACTGTGTTCAGCCAACCATGCAATTGTTCCTTAACATTTAATTACATCATACAGGATATCTTATTGTAAATGTGTTTGTGTGTTTGTGTCTGCTTGTGTTTCGAATGGTAAACCCGTGGAATGTACAGGTGAATGGTTTCTGAAAATATTTAGGCTACATTCTACTGTCTAAAAACAAACACTACAAAATGTTTTGAAAATAAACTATAAGGTAAGTCCAAAGAGGACTTCCGGGTTTAAGATCACGTGACATAAAGCCATGAGCTCGCATTGAATTACAGTATCAAATTAGCAGAGGTTCATTATTAACATCCGGCTTATATCAACTGGGAAGGTAGAGAGCTAGCCAGCTAAACCGTAAGTCTCGAGTTCGAATCCGGGTTCAAGTCAGTAGACCTTCCCTGAGTTCACCCAACTCTTATGGGAACTTTTTATAACGTTTGGGAAAGTATAGGCGGCTGGCATAGTGCTGACCATACTATACCTTCATATGTCGTGGTCACAGAAACAGGTGAAATTCATTTTTCTACTAGATTCTATTCTATTTTAAAAAGTGTAAGTACTAAAAAAATTTAATTAAAAACCATGTCTATTTTCCGAGTTACCATTCCCCCGTTTTTTATATACGAATATTCGAGAAAGATTATGTGAGACCCATGGACGTAGTGAGGGGGGGGGGGGGCGGGGGGGCGGAACGCACCGGGCGACACCATTTAGGGGGGGGGGTGACACCAAGGCAAAAAATAGCAAAATGTATAGAGAAAAACTTGAGGGGGTGGGGGTGCAAATCGAAAGTTTGAGGGGGAGGGGGGGTGCAAATCGAAAATTTGTCCCCGGGAAGGGTAACTACGCCTCTGGGGGTGACACCATTAAGTGCCGCACCGGGTGACACCCGACCTCGCTACGCCACTGGTGAGACCACTGGTGATCGTCAGAATCGCGTATACAATAGTAATAATAACCTACAATAGATGGAACGCAGGGGGAATATTGTGTAATTTATTTGGTTGCGGCCCCTGCATTCCCACTGGCAAGTGGAAGTTTCGGTGCAATGTCTGACATTGCCCTTTTCCTGTCTTCTGCTCCGTGAAATACCCCCAGTGGCAAATTTGTAGTATCTTTTTTTTTTCAAAACCTGGTAAAATGTAACCATTATTCCTTCCACATTCATACATATAATGTAATTGGGCTTTGTTAGCGTTGAGAAAATAATTGTGTCGAGATTGGCGACAGGATCTCTCAAATGGGCGGAAATCCGGGGGAGATTTCGTTGGTGTTGGTCAGTGCGCATATAAGATAGCCAAATCGCACGCTACGGCACTTCTCCCCCCCCCCCTTTTGAATTTTTTTTCGATTACTTTTTACTAGAAAGGCTTTTTGTAGTGGCGAAGCGTGGGTATGCAGATCGTATATATATATATACAGGGGCGTAGCGAGGGGGGGGCGGGGGGTGCGGACCGCACCGGGTGACACCATTTAGGGGGGTGACACCAAGGCAAAAAATAGCAAAATATATAGAGAAAAACTCGAGGGGGGGGGTGCAAATCGAAAGTTTGAGAGGGGGGGGGGGTGCAAATCGATCGAAAACTTGAGGGGGGGGGGGGGTGGAAATCGAAAGTTTGAGGGGGGGGTGCAATTCGAAAATTTGAAAGTTTGTCCCTGGGAAGGGTCTCTATGCCTCTGGGGGGGTGACACCATTAAGTGCCGCACCGGGTGACACCCGACCTCGCTACGCCACTGTATATATATATATATTTATGTATATATATATATATATATATATATATATATATATATATATATATATATATATATATATATATATATATATTTATGTATATATATATATATATATTTATATGTATATATTTATATGTATATATATATATATATATATATATATATATATATATATATATATATATATATATATATATATATATATATATATATATATAAAACATGACACAAATGTATATAGGAAAAGAAAAATCACTAACAAGAAAATAGTTATTCGTTATTAATTTTACTTTTGTTTCCTTTGTGGTGTTCTCGCTGTGTTTATTAATCCATTTTTCGTTGGTCTCTACAGACAACATTAAACATAAATTTGTTGGTCTCTACAGATAACATTAAAAGAAGTTTGTTGGTCATTACAGATAACATTAAATAGAAGTTTGTTGGTCTCTACAGATAACATTAAATACAAGTTTGTTGGTCTCTACAGATAACATTTAAATACAAGTTTGTTGGTCAGATAACAGATAACTTTGAATACAAGATTCTTCCTTTTGTGCTAGGAAATAAAAAGTAGTAATATTTTGTACAGCAAACTGAGGCCTTGCCAGAAAGATTTAGCATCCATAACGACACATTTGTAAACAAAGCAGGCTTTTGCAGTTTTAGCTGGTATGCTACACTGAAAAAAAAACATTTTCAATAGTTAATTACAATGTTAGCAAATACTTATAATTTATCGTAAACAAATATATAGGCAATGTGCAAATACCTATCAATATTTCTTTTAAATCCAATTCTGTTCGTCATTTGGTCTGGTTTTTGTAAGTTGTGATGACGATAGCTAGGCTAGTTTTAATATGTCAGTCAGCAAAGGAAAAACGCCAGAGGTTTAGCAGAGGAGTTAAGTAGATTTGCTGGAATAGGTAGGAACCAATAAGTAGTAAGATGATTACTGACCGGTCACGTGATACGGTCAGCTGACCATTGAAGGGTGAGTGTCAACAGTTGGTCATTGGAGCGTGTGGCGGACAGTCGTGTGTTAGAAAGCAGTTGTAGATTGATATTGTTAGGAAATAGTTGAGTTGAACTTAGAGATTAGTTAGGGTGTAGTTGGGTTTGTAAAAGTAGTGTATAGTACAGTAGATTTATGAGTTGATATCTATGAATTGAATGTTCCTTATTTATTATTGAATCTACTAGAACCTCTGGCAGGCTTATCAGATGTGTGGATCCCTAAACCACAATGTATATTACACATTACGGTGCACGGTATATACACACACACAAACATACATATATACAGACAGACAGACAGACAGACAGACAGACAGACAGACCGGCAGACAGACAGACAGACAGACAGACAGATAGACAGACAGACAGGCAGGCAGACAGGCAGGCAGGCAGACAGGCAGGCAGGCAGGCAGGCAGGCAGGTAGAGAGACAAACAGCCAGATAGATAGATAAACAACATAATAAACCCTCCGTCCCACACATCTCTCACTCCAAATATGTGAACAACGTTCATCTGTCAGACTGCCCGCTTGTCAATGTGTTCGTACTTAGTTTATCTCTCAATCCATCAAGTTATCCGTCCATCGTATGTCTGTTTGTTTGTCCGTATACATATTCATCCACATGCTGGCATAACTGTCTTCCTGGTCATATCACTATTCCAAATGACCAGATTCTAAAAACAAAATTGTAACAAACCTGAACTGGAGTACGGAGGAGGCAGCTCATTAGACGCTACGCAAGGGGAATAATATACAAAGCCGTAACGTTCATAGTTGTCGGTCAAAATCGTGTATGAAGGCTGTTCAACTTGTGAAACAAAGAGACTTGAATATGATGGGGGAAGATCTGATTCTGTGTAATACTGTGGCTCCGTGATTGCTGGTGTATTATTCCTTGAATGAAACTGTAGGTTCAAGGGTGTCATATATTGATCACATTGACCAGGTCTAGAAACGGTTGCCAGTGGCAACGGAGTAGTGTTATTATTGTCACGCATGGTTTGATTTAGCCTTTGCAGCGCTTTAATCTTTTTCCTCTGGTAACAACAGCAAAACGCCAGGGTAGTAATGATGATCACAGACGAAAGTGGTAAAACGGTTATGCAAACCAATAGAGCTACACCAAGGGATTGAACTTGGTTGTTAGTATAGTTTCCAGTTGCTAGCTGGGACGGACCCTGCGTAGTGAATTTTTTGGCTGGAGAAGACAATAAAAATACGTGTAATATTTTGTTGTTTCTCGTATAGAATTAAATTTCAACAGTTTTTCCCGTTATACACCACCATCCTTTGTCGATTTCGGAATATGAAGGATACAAATATTATAACCATACAAAATATCGAAATCGAGATTTTGAAAAATATCGACGTTTTAAGCTTTCCGGGTATAACCTGGTGTATATTGTTATCATCTAATTTGATATATATAGCTTTCATCTAATATGATTTATATAGTAATCATCTAATTTAATGTATGTTGTTATCATCTAATCCAACAAGGTACAATGTACTTCAAAAAGTAGCTAATATAAGTAAGTTTATTTTTTTAGTCAAATCAAACGACAGCTGTTGAATAGAGTTTTGTATTACAATTTAAAACTGTGATTTTGTAAGTTATGTAGCTTATATTTAACTGTTCATACAAAGTTACTAAAACTTCAATATAGCTTTCTTCATAACGCATCAACAAATATTTAGTCCATCTATATATTATAGGTTATATCTTCCATTGTTATATTTTGTTATCTTGTGTACAATTTGAGGTACATTATTATCATTTGAATACATCGATGTAATATTGTTAAAAAAAAAATAAAAAGCTTTTCGGAGTTGAAAAAATCATAGTTTTGCAAGCAATATGTCCATCAATGTGTCTGTCTGTTGTAAACACGATAACATGAGATTCGTTTGCGTTAGGTTTATACAATTTCATATATGTATTTTATCAAATTTGTAACTTTCTACAAACTTTTAAGCAATTTCGATAATGGAAACTAGTACTTACTCTACTTTTGGTTTATGAAATGTAAATAAATTGAGAACCGTTTAAGTTACATGGACGAAATGTCACATACAAGTAAAACATTGTATGCGTAGATTTCTATAAACTTTTGAACGATTGCTGGTTCCAGGAACTGATACTTAACCTGTTTCTTGTGAACACGATAACTTGATTACTGTTTAATTTAGGCAGACAAGTTTTATATATAAAAAATCTTATACTTTGATTATTTTCATTTTTTAGTGACCTCCGATATCTGCAAGTGGTAATTTACTTCATTTTTGGTCTTTAAAAAAACCCGTGAGGAGGACTAAATGTTATATGTAGGCTTAAATTTTTATTATACTAATTCTATTGATGTTTGAGTGATTTTCGGTGACCATAAGTAGTACTTTACGCTTTTTCAATTTCTAAAAAGAATATAAAAATGTGTTAATTCTATATCACTTTTGGAGTGTATGTCTTTTTTTTTTACGTTATTCTCGTCTATTTAAAGTGTGTATAAAAAGATAGGATAATTAGTGATGTATAACGGTGTATTTCGCTCTATTTCCGTTAATGTCAAGGACCTTAAGAATTAGATAATTTTTATGTTATGTTCTCAAAAATCATATTTAAATAAAATTTTACTTCTACTAAAAAAATTTAAAAAACAAACACCGAGCAGTTTCGTCACAAAATACCATGTTTCCATTGACCGATTGTACTCACATTGACATCTCTTTACTGTTATATAAGAATATTTGAGAAAGGTTAGAGGAGATCACTTCAGTTTTTAAAAAAACAGTTTTAATATAACGTGAACTTTTTAGAATTGACTAAACTTTATGTTTACTTTTGCGCATTTAGTTACCAAGTAATATATACCCAACAAGGTACATTGTACTCCAGAAAGTACCTAATATAAGTAAGTTTTTTTTTTAATTTTAGTCAAGTCAAACGAAAGCTGTTAAATAGAATTTTGGATTACAATTTAAAAACTGTGATTTTGTAAGTTATGTAGCTTATATTGAACTGTTCATACAAAGTTACTAAAACTTCAATATAGCTTTCTGCATAAGAAACAACAAATATTTAGTCTATCTATATATTATAGGTTATATTAAAACAAAATCAAACCGTCTTTAGAACGGTCCAACAATATATATATATATATATATATATATATATATATATATATATATATATATATATATATATATATATATATATATATATATATATATATATATAAGCGGGCAAGTAGCGTGTTAGACACATCATTCTATCATTGGTATAGAATCTCAAAATATAAAAGCAAACAAACTCACAAGCTGTGCATTACTTGCATCGCCACTGTCTTATTACAAGTAACGGAGAAGGGTCTGTTTAGGTAATGACTTAAATTGTTTTAAAGTTTTTACTCTTTCGAATGCGCCAACAAAAGAACATGATGATGATGAACGCATAGATGAATCCTCTTAAATGTTGCATTAAGTGCGCTAGTTTACATATAAAACTGTATGGAATGTTATAATAAAACAAATATTTCAGTATGTTGTCATATAATTTACAACACTTACAACATAATTTGCATCTTATAGTCTATCTAAAATGTCATAACATGGGACGGAGTGGTCTAGTAGAGAGCTGGACTGCTAACCCGTAAGTCTTCGAGTTCGAATCCCGGTTCAAGTCAGTCGACCGTCCCTGAGTCCACCCAACTCTGATGGGTGCGTAACTCATGTTAGGGTAAGTAAAGGCGGCTGGACGTAGTGCTGACCACACTATATCTTCATATGCCGAGGTCACAGAAACAAGTGAACTCTACTGCACTTGCCCCATAAACCGTCAGGTTTGAAAGGGAACTTTACTTAATTACTAATGTCATAACAAAACTAAAATGTACCCGTCTATAGAACGTCTTAAAGAAACGTACGTATATCCACCACCTTCATCATGCAGCGGTCACGACTGTCCGAATTATCAGCAGCACAATACACCCGTAACATGTCTTTCTTGACATGCATCAATGTCAGTTTAGACACAAGGATCGACCCATTACGACTGGTACTTATTGTTATCCAAGGTACATAGCCTGTAGAAACAAGCACATAACATTTATATTAATTTAAGTTTGATAGATTCTCAGTTGTCTGTGCCGATTTTAAAAGATAAACAAAATACACGTTTAAATATGAAAAATGATTGTATTGGCTATTATTTACTACAAAGTAATCAAACGAATTTGTTGGCCTATTTGCACTTAGAGATCAGATGACGCAATACTTTAAGAAGACTTAATCAATGCGTTACCAATCTTGTAATTTTAGACCCGGGACCTTGGTTTTAAAAACTGAGTTATTTAACTATAAGGATTGCTATATTTCTTGGATCTTCGGTGTCCGGTCAAAAACCCCCTGGACAAAAACCCCCTGGACATAAACCCCCCGACATAAACCCCCTGGACAAAAACCCCCCGCGACATAAACCCCCTGGACAAAAACCCCCCGCGACATAAACCCCCTGGACAAAAACCCCCCCGCGACATAAACCCCCTGGACAAATACCCCCCGCGATATAAACCCCCCGGATAATAACCCCCGGACTGAGGTTTATATAAAGAAAAAATAACGATGATGTGAACCAAGAAATTTAAAAAAAAGAAAAAATAACGATGATGTGAACCAAGAAATTTAAAAAAAATTACATTACACAGGAAACATACACAGCACTCTTACAGCAGCTAACGGTCTTAAACACAAACCTGCAACCAATTTCTATTATGATTGACTTTGAAATGGCTGTGATAAAAAGTGTTGAAAGGGTATTTCCAGAGTGTGAGGTAAAAGGATGTTTCTTCCATCTTAGCCAAAATATATACAGAAAAATTCAGGACTCTGGCCTTCAACAACTCTACCAAGTTGATAGTGAATTTGCTCTCAAGCTCAGAATGCTACCTGCGTTGGCCTTTGTTCCCATCGAACACATGAGTTATGCCTTTGAAAAATTATTGGAAATTTTCCCCCAAGAAGCAATGCCGATTGCAGACTACTTTGAGGACTACTATATTGGCAGACCACAACGTCGAGGTCGAAGACAACCTATGTTTCCACTTGACATTTGGAACATGCACACACGTGCAGAAGACCATATGCCAAAAACAAACAACTCAGTTGAAGGCTGGCACAGAAGTTTTCAGTCGCATATGGGATGTTGCCACCCAAATATTTGGAAATTTATTGACTTTATTAAAAAGGAACAATCTCTCCAAGAGGTTTATTGTAAACAGATTAATTCAGGTCACTGTTTACCAAAACAGAAAAAAAAATATATTGATAGCAGCTCTCGAATTTTAACTGTTGTTAAAAATTTTAATGAGTCCACCATTATTGAGTATTTGCGAGGCATCGCTCACAATCTGTCTTTTTAAAGTTATAATAAAAATAATTTTTTTTTTCCTAATGTTTGTTTTGTATTTTTATATTAATTTTGTTTCTCGTCATCTTTGGTTTTTCCTTATATAAACCTCAATTGGGGGGTTTTTGTCCAGGGGGTTTATATCGCGGGGGGTTTTTGTCCAGGGGGTTTATATCGCGGGGGGTTTTTGTCCAGGGGGTTTATGTCGCAGGGGGTTTTTGTCCAGGGGGTTTATGTCGGGGGGTTTATGTCCAGGGGGTTTATGTCCAGGGGGTTTTTGACCGGGTTTTTGACCCCCCCCCTGTCAATTACCCCCCTGTCAATTACCCCCCGCCCAGTAGGACATTACCCCCCCCCCTGACAGGGTTAGAGTTAGGGTTAGGATTAGGGCTAGGTTTAGGGTTAGGGCTAGGGCTAGGGTTAGGGTTAGGGTTAGGGTTAGGGTTAGAGCTAGTGTTAGGGTTAGGGTTGTGTCTAGCTTTGGTTTTCGTTTTGTGTGAAGTTTTAGGCTAAGGTGGATGCTTAGGTTTTGGTCTTTTTCTTAAGGTTTGGATTAAAGTAGTATATAGGTATAAAATTCTAGTTAGAGTTAGGATTTTAACTTGAAGGGGGGGGGGGGGGTAATTCCCCGGGGGGGGGGGGGTTATTGACAGGGGGGTAATTGCTCCGGGGGGTAAATACGGGGGGGGGGGGAAATGTCCGGGGGGGGGGGGGAAATATCCAGGGGGGTAATGTCCTGTAGCCATTTTTTTATAGATATGAAATACTGCCATCAATGTAAAACGTTTACATGCACCTTTGAAATATTATTACCATATCCATATATTTGTAGCAACCTTGTAGAAATCCTGAAATCACAATTATATCAGGATTAAGAATTTAGTACGTCATCCATTTGTTCATAAATAAATAAAAACTGCATCCATTAGTAAACAGTTTATCCATTCACAGATGCAACATACACATTATCTGATATGGCCTACTTATAGGGCAGGTCACTGTTGTGTTTTTCAATTTTAAACATACATACAAACAAACTAGTTTAGCGGATTAAGTCAGTGGATGGGGTCAATGGATTAGATCAGGACATTGGGTTCATAGATAAGTTAAGGTGATTTATTGAAAGGGTTAGATCAACTGATTGGATTAATGAATTAAGTCAGATAATTAGTTCTGGGACTTTGGCTAGAAGACTTGTTAAGTGGATAGGATTATAATCATTGTGTGGGCTTGTGAAAGTTATAGCTGAGTGATTTATTAGGATGGTGTAGAGGAGCTAGGTTTATGTGTGGTTAAATATATAGCTTTATTGAACGAGTGAGGTCAAAAGTGTGTGGTGGCAGAGGTATGTTGTAGTTTGAGTAGGGGTGAGTTTGGTTATGTGGGGGAGTGTGTTTGCGTATGTGGGGGAGTGTGTTTGGTCGTGTAGTAGAGTGTGTATTTTATGTGGGGGAGTGTGTTTGCTTATGAATGGGGAGTGTGTTTGGTTGTGTAGTAGAGTGTGTTTTTTATATGGGGGAGTGTGTTTGCTTATGTGGGGGAAATGTGTATGCTTATGTAGGGGAGTGTGTTTGGTTGTGTAGTAGAAGTTGATTTTTATGTGGGGGAGTGTGTTTGCTTATGTTGGGGAAGTGTGTTTGGTTGTGTAGTAGAGTGTGTTAGATACTTTAGAGGTTTGTTTTTTGTTTGGAGGTTGAGTTGATTTTATGGAGTAGTGTAATGGCTTAGTACAGAGGTGTGTTTGTTAAAAGTAGTGTGTTTGTCTATGCAGTGGATAGTTTTAGGTATTATAGATGTATGTGTTTGTTATGTGTTGGGGTGAGGTTGGTTATATGGAGGAGAACGTTTGCTTATGTGATATGTGTAAGATTTCTTCAAGACTATACGTAACCGAGCTACTCTTCAGTTGACTTGTTTAAAGGTGTTTTTAGAACTGACTCACTTATTGTTAAATATAAAAGATGAACAATTTCCATAGCATGGAAAACTGTTTTGCGCACCTTTTAGGTATTACACTGTTGCGCATTGGCATTGGACGAGTCGGCCTTTAAAGGCAAATGTTTACAACATTTCGCTTAGTTGGGGTATTAAAGTATCAGATTTTTTTTTTATATTGCTAAGCTTACTAAGACTGGACAAAAAAACAAACACAGATTTTATTTTAAACAAATGTTGTCGGTACATCTATATTTAAAAGGTAATCTATTGTTTTAATTACGTAAAATACATTGCTGCTAAATCCAGTAATGTGACAGGAAGGTGACTTCTAAATTTTAGTAATTATTTCGAACTTTTACGAAGATTTATTTTTAATTTCTCGTACATAGAGTATAAAGAAAGTATTGTAATGGTGCTGAATAATTATCAAATGTTTTGACAGTTTTTGCCGTTTAACACCTCCCTTCTTTATTATATATGAAACATAAAGAATGCATGTAATCTTGATAAAAATCTAATCTGAGATTTTTTACAAATGTTTTACATCATTCAGGAACGGAAAAGCATGATTTTGCAATTTGGTCTGTATGTCTGTGATGTCTTTAAACACCATTGTTTGAGTACCGTCGGCGTGGTCGAGTCGGTAAAGCTCATGGTTGCTAAACCGAAAAGTCTCGAGTTCGAACCCTCGGGCAGATGAGGCTCGTTAGCTGGGGACAGCCACTCTTCTAGGAGAGACAACTCCGAAATTAAACAACTGCTGCCTTGTAGTTTGTTCTTGGTTGGACAAAGGCTATGGAAGCAAATCCAAAAAGAAAAGCAGGCTGAAATCGGAGTCAATGGCCTCAATGGCGCATAACCAGTTGACACGTAACGCTTAATTGTGTTGGAGGCGTAGTCGAGTCGGCAAAAAGCTCATGGTTGATAAATTCGAACAAAGTCTCGAGTTCAAACCCACTGGCAGATAAATCTCGATCCCCTTCAACACTAATAATTAAGAACGAAGAAGAAGAAGAAGAAGAAGTACCGTTTCAGTTATGTTGACGAAATTTCATATAAAAGTAATATATAAAATTTGTAGTTCTTATCATTTTTTACTTACTTAAAAGCAAATAACTAGAGCTCCGTTTAGTTTAAGCTAGTTTGAAGACATTTCATATTTGTATATTCAATTGCATGCGTATTATTCTATCAAATTTTCTACCATTTTACGGCAGCCTGATATGATACTTTATTCTATTGCTGAGTGAGAAATTTAATTTGAGCACCGTTTTAGTTAGGTTGAAGAAATATCATCTATAAGTAAAGAATCGTGTACTTAGATTATTTTTAATTATTGAGTGAACTTCAATAACCGGAGGTGGTATTTTACACTAGTTCCGGTTTCTATATCACGATTGATCGCTTAATAATGTATAAAAATATACGAGAAAGTTTAGTGGAGATCAGTCCCCTCTTTATTTTAAATGTTTCAAAAATGTATCTTATACCTTTGTTTAAACAATTATACTTAGGCTTTTCAATAATAATTTGAAAGATTAGCAACATTTTAATCAGATGCAACTAAGAGCATTAACTTAATAGCCATCTGTTTAGAGTTCTTTTACTTGTCATAACTTATAGTTATAATATTACAAATGGCATCTGTTTATATTGCAAATCTTTCTCTCAAACACTACTGTTTCAATTTAATATCCGTCCTTTGTTGATATATTTAAACAATGTGTTTGGTTTTTTATTCAAATATATTTTACATTTGATACAAATATATCACAACACACTTGTGTTTGAGCTCAATTAATAAGTCACCTTTCTATCACATTATTCGCTTTGGCCGATTTTACGTAGGCCTACCTAAATAAAACGATAGATTAAACACAAACTGTTCAAACCCACCTGATAGCAATTTTAACAAAATATTTGCATATTAATTTACTTAATTAATTACAATTTAATATGCGAACATTCAAGTTGACAATGTTTTTAAAAGCAAAATAATTACATTAGACTAGGGGGTCGTGCATAAATGACGTCATACTCGAGGGGGAAAAGGGTCCGGAATTTGGTGAGTGTGTGTGATGAGGGGGAGCGTGGAGGGGGGAGGTTCAGGTGGTGTGACGTCACACTTTTTGCATTATAAAAAGCAATGTAAGAAAACGAATTTTAGCCGTTATTTTTCGAATTTTAGAAACCTGTTTTAATAAATTGTAATAGAAATGGATTAAAACACTCTATGTTGAAAAAGTTCAGTCAAGATTTTGGAAGAATATCGATGTTTTAAGAAAAAAGCAACTGTAATTTTGATGGGGGAGGGGGGTGGTGTGGGTTGTATGATGAGGTGTGACGTCATTTTAAGGGGTGGGGTCTGGATTTTTGTGACGATGTGTGACGGTGGGGAGGGGTAGGTAAATAGCGTGACTTAATTTATGGATGATCCCATAACAAAATAAATCATATTGTTGATATAGAGAACAGAGTACAGACACATTGAAATGGATGTCAGCTGGCGATGGCAACTACCTATCTTGTTAATGGTTATCTGCGCCATCCTAGGTAAGAGAAATGTTAACCGTTGTCTTAACTAAATAATATATTTTTTTATATTAAAATTATTAAATTAATTCTATTGCAACCTATCTCTCTCTCTCTCTATATATATATATATATGCCTATAGGCCTATATTACAATATATATCATGAGTTAAATTCGCTGTTTTCAGGCTGCGAAACGTCTGGAGCCCAATGCCAGGATAATTCCCGCTTAGGTAACGATTCCATCTTTACACAAGACACGATTGCCAAGGGTTCATTCAGCAACGAGGGCATCAGACATGGTATGAACGATCTGGGCCGTTTACCCCATGACGTCAGGTGTACTGGACACGATGAGAGGTCTAGTTTGGCCGAGATGGACTTCACCAACAACTTCAATACGTGCCCGGCTAACGAAACTGTGGGGAACTTGCCGTGTGATGACATTATTAGTGGTAAGTCAACTAGCAAAATGTTGGGACGTCGTTTTTAATAACATGAGTAACGGGAAGTCTATTAGCGTCTGTAAAGAACACGTCTTTTGATAACACCTCTAATAATACGCGGATAATTGTTACATTTTATCGCTTCCGTTGTGTTTTGTATTAGTCTCCATCCCCTCTTCTCGTCGTAATAACAACATTATAAATATATATATATATAAACATATATATATATATATATATATATATATATATATATATATACATATATAGTAGTTTTACAATTTCGTATATAAATCACATTGAAAAGAATACTCTGACATAAAAAAATAAAAAGTATTAAAATAGTCAAAATAAAAGTAAAAACCAAATCAAACACTAACACAGAAAGATAACAAATTCATCTAACAAATTGCAACCAAATAACTGTAAAATAAATGTATAACAATAAAAATGTATGTAATTTTATGCAAAATATGCATTTCAACTACAAAACGTAAAAATGGTAAAAAATTAAATAGATGTTTATGTAATTGACGTTTTCAAAACATAATCATATAGATTCACATCCAAAGACAATTAATCAAAATGTATATATATATATATATATATATATATATATATATATATATATATATATATAACAGTAAGTTCTATAATAAAGTACAAAAATATCATTAAAGTGTTTAAAAAAAATTCACAATAGATCTTTTCATTTGAATGGATTGATGAGTTCTCTACTAGCCTCACTTTGTTCCTTGATCTCTTTTAGCCATGCAGTTCCCTAGTAACAAGCACCATGTTTGTTCCCTAATTCACATTAGTCTGAATGTTCCAGACTAGCCAACACCGTAAATATTCCACAGGCGGCAGTTGCCAAATACCAATAGAGTCGGACCCTGGCTTCACATTTCAACTTGACGTCTTTGGCGTCTGCTACAATGTCACTGTCATCGAAGTCAATGGAGGAAAGATCGACTACCTCGAGATGTTCGAGAAGTTGAATGTAAGGGTGTAGGTGTAAGTGTAGATGTAAGGTGTAGGTGTAGGTGTAGGTGTAGGTGTAGGTGTAGGTGTAGGTGTAGGTGTAGGTGTAGGTGTAGGTGTAGGTGTAGGTGTAGGTGTAGGTGTAGGTGTAGGTGTAGGTGTAGGTGTAGGTGTAGGTGTAGGTGTAGGTGCAGGTGCAGGTGCAGGTGCAGGTGCAGGTGCAGGTGCAGGTGTAGGTGTAGGTGTAGGTGTAGGTGTAGGTGTAGGTGTAGGTGTAGCTGTAGCTGTAGCTGTAGCTGTAGCTGTAGCTGTAGGTGTAGGTGTAGGTGTAGGTGTAGGTGTAGGTGTAGGTGTAGGTGTAGGTGTAGGTGTAGGTGTAGGTGTAGGTGTAGGTGCAGGTGCAGGTGCAGGTGCAGGTGCAGGTGCAGGTGCAGGTGCAGGTGCAGGTGCAGGTGTAGCTGTAGCTGTAGCTGTAGCTGTAGCTGTAGCTGTAGCTGTAGCTGTAGCTGTAGCTGTAGCTGTAGCTGTAGCTGTAGCTGTAGCTGTAGCTGTAGCTGTAGGTGTAGGTGTAGGTGTAGGTGTAGGTGTAGGTGTAAGTGTAGGTGTAGGTGCAGGTGTAGGTGTAAGTGCAGGAGTAGGTGCAGGAGTAGGTGCAGGTGCAGGTGCAGGTGCAGGTGCAGGTGCAGGTGTAGCTGTAGCTGTAGCTGTAGCTGTAGCTGTAGCTGTAGCTGTAGCTGTAGCTGTCCAATGTTACTTAAGTCTTTCTGCTTTTAAAGGACTTTTTTTTTGTTAAACTTACTTATTGATTTGCGTTTGAAACTACCAATTTTCGGTCGTATTTAATGTTTGTTTTTATCGCTAACAACAAACATTGTCTCGTTTAAATGACTTCGCAGACCGCTTAACCTTAATTTGATCCTAATATTCGTCACATTCTTTATGTTTATTTCTTATTATTGTGTACACACTATACCTAATCATATCCCTTTTTACATTACTAGCAGAAGCAACTACGATACGATATTCAAGCTACACACTCATATTGTTTAATTATACATTTATCTTTATACATTTTTAGCATCTGCCATTTTTCTTTTCGTCTCTAGCTTCTTCTTGTCCCCGAAGAAACAACCAACGATAGCACACTGTACAAGACCGAGATCTCTGAAAGTGATGAGATGAAAGTCAACTTCCCGTCTAATTTTGTCGTTCACATTAGCGAAAACAAGTCTCGGATCTTGAACGTCACGGCTGTTTCGCACACCGGAAAGTGCAGAGACCTTGGAATCCGGCGGAAAGTTGGTGAATGACCTTTATCAGTTCTCTTCTTTATTAGAAACGTTTTAAAACTTAGGGGAGGTAACTACGAGGAGGCTGCTTTCACTGGGGGAGCGGGTAGGAGTTGGGGGAAAGGAGGGGGGGGTTATCGTCCTTAACGAGCTACTGATAGTGTTTTAAAGCATATATATATATATATATATATATATATATATATATATATATATATATATATATATATATATATATATATATATATATATATATATATATATATATATATATATATATATATATATATATATATATATATATATATATATATATATATATATATATATATATATATATATATATATATATATATAAGGCCTATGAAATATCAGCTGTCAGTGCAACCGTAATGGTTGAACAATAACCTTAATGTACATAAATTAGATTAATCCTACGTTTTTTTTTATTACAAAGCAAAACAAAGAAAGGGACCAAACATAAACTGTAAATACAAATCGTACACATTTCTACTCTTAATTACAATAAGCATAAAGAGAAGTAAACGTTCAAGGATAACATAACAAACTAACAAAACAAACGAAACAAGCTAAAAAAAACAAGCTACAAAACACACTAAACACATAAGAACAGTAACCAGAATTTAGGGACAATAAGGATAAAAAAGAAATCTTATATAAAATGCGACATGAATATTATATAGATTAATATATTAATATATACACATGGTTCACAAACAGGTTTAAATACAAATACTAACTACATAAGGTAACTAAATTCTTAAGCCTCTAGTAGATCGACAATCCCTCCTACTAACACTACTTCTAAAATACTAAAATTATTTGCCTAAAAAAACACCATCGTTGGTTCGCGGTATCTGTCGAGACGATTATCTGCCCCATGAAAGCAGCCGTCCATGGCCATATTTTACTGACGACAGCAAGTTCTTAAATTTGTTACCTCCCCTTTGTTTAATTATCAGCCTCTAATACGGTTAACAAATTCAACACTACTCTACTATTGTAAACATTTGGCGTGAATTACAGCTCATCAGATCGGTCGGAAGATAGCGTCTAGCTAGTCATCTCCCCTTCTGAATATAGTAATCTGTCGAGGGATTTCATTATATTATCTCTCTTAGTTTCAAAAGATTTATTAATTTATAATGGCTAATTAAGCATCTAGTTAAATGAAAAAATTAGATAGACTTGTATTGTCATCGTAGTGGAACGTATCCGGAGAGTTTGAACGAAATCGTTGCGTTAGAAGTGTATCAAAATTGAGTTACACGATTTGTCACAGACAAACAAAAAGACGAACTAATCAAAAACTTGTAAAAAAAAAGTCTAACCTTCCGTAGACCTACAGCTTAGATTTCACTTACAGCACGTTTTACTTTACATGCTTGCTAACACGTGTCTTTTTTTACAGCCAAAACTTGGCTTTACAAAACGTTTGAATCCTCACGAAAATACTCTACTTGGTACGTAGGCCTATAGTTTAAATCCAACGCGATTATTTTTCGTCTTTTTTTTTTCTCAGCCTAAGAACTACTGTTAACTTTTACGAAATGCTTTCCCTCGTTACTATTTTTAGGCGTAAAAGACCATCGACCTCGTCGCAGAATCCAACCATTGCTATGTACATGATACCCTCGGTCTGTGTGGCGATTGTCTTTGCAATTCTCATGTGGTTGAGTACGTTATCTTATCACCCATTCTAATTTTTGTTATAAAGATGTGAGAAAAGTTTCGAGTTTTCATTAGCAGAGTTAATCGCATTTTTATTTGACTTCTTTGTCCATAGGAGATGAGTAGAACCTTAGGAGGGTATTTTTAAATTTATTTATTTATTTTATTTTGTGAATATTGCCTTTTTATTTTCAATAGGTTATTCAGTAGGGTGTTACGTGGCATTAATCCAACACTCACAGAGAGGTGCCGTCCATGTTCCACCAGCACCTGCAGGATAACCTAGGGCTGCTGCAGAGGCAGCACATTGGCCAGTCATTCTCTAAACATCGAAACTCAATTGATGCCTTCTTTTTTACATCCTCACATATTTTGAAATTTAAAATCAAATTTATACGACCACACTGGCCTTAATTATTAGATAATTCATTTAATAGGTACTATGGTATCTTTCTAAAAACGTTGCCTTTCTTTCATTCTTCTGTAAATGTAAGGTATCTAATGTTTCTAAAAATATTGATTTCTATCTTATCTGCACGTAACAATAAAGCTATACCTTATTCGGTTTCACTTGGATAAAATTCTTAAAACGTCACCTTTTTATAGATGAAAAATCAAAACCATTTGTAGTTTTCGGAATTTAATATGTATAATTTAATCAATAAACTGATTTTTATATCATTTAGATTAATGTTTTATAAAAGTATAATATAAGCACTATAAATGCCAATTGTTAAGTATGTTACTGTTTGTTTGTTTATTTTTAAAAAATCGTGAATATTTCAAAAACTTGTTATAACTGTAGTCTGTTTTAAAATTAAAGGCGCTTTAAGAACAGTTAACATCATTTGTCTAACATGGATCTTCTGTGGTTCCCATGAATTTTACCGTAGTTAGGTGTTTTTTCTTCGTGTATGTTTTAGGATGAGAATCTATAGAATTCATCGGTCTAATTCTATATACCATGGCGCCTGAAGGGATTGAGATGATGGTGAAGGTCACGTGGGCTTTATACACACCAAACTCGTGACTGTCTATACCAGTGGCGTAGCGAGGTCGGGTGTCACCCGGTGCGGCACTTAATGGTGTCACCCCCCCCCCCCGCTCAAGTTTTCGATTTGCACCCCCCCCCCCTCAAACTTTCGATTTGCACCCCCCCCTCGAGTTTTTCTCTATATATTTTGCTATTTTTTGCCTTGGTGTCACCCCCCTAAATGGTGTCACCCGGTGCGGTCCGCACCCCCCGCCCCCCCCCCTCGCTACGCCCCTGGTCTATACATGATTACGTGATATGTCTAGCTGTTTGGTCATTAAAACGTGTTGTAGAATTGTGTTCTGTATCTTGTGCCAATAAAACGATTTATTAAAATCATTTAGCTGTTGATTAATTTGTAAATTGAAATGATAACTGTAATATGTATGTGCAATTGAATTTTAAAAATGTAAACAGCCATGCATTAAGCTACGCTAAAAAAATTGATTAAAAAATGTGACAATTAAAATAGCTGAAATAAAAATATTGGAATAATATGTGAGATTATATAGCTTTTTTTACACAGTCGTAGCAAACAATTGCATTACCTAACATTTACTTAGAAAAACGTCATAAAAAGTAATAAAAAATTTACGTTAAATATTTAATGATACACTATTATTTAAATAACTGTAACGATAAGCGTGGGCACTGGCGTAGCCAGGATCTTCTCTCATGGGGAGCGGGTTCAAATTGTTTCCATCAATATATATATATATATATATATATATATATATATATATATATATATATATATATATATATATATGTATATATATATATATATATATATATATATATATATATATATATATATATATATATATATATATATATATATATATATATATATATATATATATATATATGTGTGTGTGTGTGTGTGTGTAGCATTGTTTTCTCTAAAGTTAGCACGTTTATGTTTGGTGTTACCTCCACCCCCTTGTAATAATTGTTGATAGGTTTGTACTTAAAATGCTATATAACTTTAATTAATAATTGATGGAACTGGCAAAATGGCACTTTCCTCTTGTACATTTTGCAATATTTTGTCTTGGTGTCACCCCCTGTTTGGTTTCAACTGATGCCGTCCGCACCCCGGCCCCACTCTTGTTACGCCTCTTGGTAAAACTATGTTTGTTTTCTAGTCTTTTGTTTGTAGGAAATTCTACGACACATCTTGTTTTAATTTAACAGACTGAACCGATAATGCGACAGATTGTAAGACAGAAAGAATGGGACGGAGTGGTCTAGCGGTAGAGAGCTGGACTGCTAACCCGTAAGTCTCGAGATCGAGTCCGGGTTCGTCAGTAGACCGTCCCTGAGTCCACCCAACTCTGATGGGTACCTAACTCACGTTAGGGAAAGTAAAGGCGGCTGAGCATAGTGCTGACCACACTATCTCTTCATATGCCGAGGTCACAGAAACAAGTGAACTCTACTTCATTTGCCCCATAGACCGCCAGGTTTGAAAGGGAAACTTTACTTTTTTTTTACTTATTCCTGAAAGAGAAGAACATCTCTTACATTTTAGGAGAAGTGGACTTTCCAGGTGGGGACATGGTGTCACACATCAGTGGAGCTATCACTGGCACAAGAAAAGCGCTGGTCTTGTTGTCTGAAGATCTTTTCTTGGATCACTACCGAGAGTATGAGATGAACCTGGCCATCATGCGAGAGTTCAATGTACGAGGTCAGGTTATCGTTCCTGTCTTTGTTGAGAGGGTCGACTTGAATACATACCCACCTGAAGTAGAAACTTATTTAAGGAATCAGCTGTACAGGTGTCTGGTCTACAGAAATAACCAAACTTTCTGGACACTTCTACTACATGCAATTAGAAATAATAACTAGTTTAAAAATTTTCAACATTGTTTTACTGTTATGTTACATTTTTGATAAGATATTTTTAAATTTATAAATTAAAAGTAAATTTAAGTTACGTTTTCTCGATTTGAAAATTAAGTTTAAATATTTACGTATAATATTTACTTATCAGAAGAGACTAACTTTTAAATTTGCATTATATCTTTGACCATAGGGGTTTTGACCATATGGGGTTTGTCCATAGGGGGTTTGACCACATGTGTTTTCTCAGCAGAGAGTCTTTGATCACTGGTGGTTTGTCAACGGGTGTTTTATCACAAGCGCTGTGTCAGCCTTTAACCACAGTTGTTTTCTTCCATACAGGGTCTTTGATCACAGATGGTAAGGATTAACTTTAAAAGTTGTGTAATTATATTTAAATTGCGACAGGGTGTAATAGTATGTTAATTCATCTGTTATTTAGTTAACCATAACAAGTATTACTTCTTTGACTATACTGTTGGCATGTTTTTTTATCCTTTTTTAATCCTTTTTATATCCTATGTATTTTCAAGTATATCTACACTATTTATTTGTGAAACTTGGTATATGTGTTATTTGTGTTCCATTTATATTTAAAATAAATCTATGAGGCCTAACACCAGCCTTACGTGGAGACTAAAATACCGTTCTTGACAATTTTTAGTACAAGTTAATTTCTATTTATGGACTCTAAGGAAACATATATAAAATCGTATTGATTGTATCACAAATTTAAATCAAATAACAGTTAATAATTTCTATTTTAAAATCTATATATTATGGTTAACCACCTCTCTGTAGTCAAAGTCCCTATGATCAAAGCCCATCTGTGGTCAAAGCCCCTGTGGTCAAATCCCCTATGGTCAAAGCCTCTATGGTCAAAGCACCTGTGGTCAAAGCACATAGGACCATATCTTATGTCTCTCTTTATTTATTTATTATATTTTTATGATTTAACCATTTATAAAAATAATATTTACCATTATTTTCCTTTTAAATTTCCACATATTTATTATATATTGTCATGTTTCTATTTATTTTTATGCATACTATGAATTCAATATAATTTATATTACTTTTGAAATATTTGTAATGACTTTTATTAGTGTTCCTTCAGGTTTTCCTTGTGCTGTTATTTCTAAAATACATTTGCATTGGATTCCTTTTTATCTTCTACTGCTTATGCTTACAACGTTCTGGTAAGATGTCCGTTAATAATTCAGATCAGATGATTCAAGAGAAGTATGTAATATCTATACCTTTGGCAAGAACGGGAAAAGTTGATGTTGATACCTCGAACGTGTGGTTTCTAATCACTCGTTGTTGCTACTCAATGTATGTAAGCATGTAAAAAATATACACTTTTGAATAATACAATTTTATCTAATTTTTATACATGCATTGAGAGAAAAAAATAGCTATCAAACACTATTTTGTTATACGTAAATCATAACACAAGACATTGTTAAATACCTAACAAAAACTAACAATTAAAGTGGCACTTTGAAAGTTAGTTGTTTTTTAATTGAATTTTTAAAATATTTATATTCATTAAAATACAGCTTTATCTTTAATAGAGTTTTACACTGGATGCTGGTATTTATAGAATTTTATGTGCGTAGAAGAATGTCAACGCAGTTTATTTTAATTATAATAATGATCCCACTTGTTAAATGAATCACGGCAAAATATTTATGGTAATCATAGGCTAGATCTATGTACTTTTAAAAGTAGATGTTGGTATTTATAGAATTTAAATTAAAAGCTATATTCACATAAAAAAAAAACATTTTTTAAAAATTAAAATATATCACCCAAATGGGCCTACAACAATATTTTCCATGCACTAAAATGTTCCGCGGTGTTGAGTTGTTACGTCATTTTAGATTTGACCTCTCACTTACAGATTAAGCCAATTTTAACAACTTCACAACAGAAGGAACGGTGAATATTTTTAAAACAAATAGCATTCTTCTCTATGAACAAACTAAGCAGTCTAAGCTATAAATAGAATTATTATATTGTAATATCTTCGTTATTGTTTTAATTACACACTTAAACTATTTTTCCGAATTAGTGGTTTTGTTTTGAAGAAATGATATATATATATAAATATACATATATATATATATATATATATATATATATATATATATATATATATATATATATATATATATATATATATATATATACATATATATATATATATATACATATATATACATATAGTTGTATGTCTTTGCTTCGCTAAGATGTAAAATAAATTGAAAGTAGTACTCTTAAGATATAAGAAAAACACACAATTTGGGTCGACAAAACAAAAAATGTATCTCTCTAAACAAAAATAACAAACAAAATATATACACACTACAATCAAAAACATTTGAGAGCAACACAATCTGTGTTGTAATATATGTAAAAAAAATATTACATAATAGCTATTTAAATGGTAGGGTTTTATTAAATATTTAAAGAGAATCATTAATTTTCTACTTTTTAGTGCATTATTATATAAAAGTTTGTTATCAAAACGATTTTTATTAATTTTTCTTTTAGTGTACTTAATTTATTTTTTAAATTTAAAATGAGTTTCATAACAAAAAGCCATCGCGCACCTAATAAACATGATAACGCGCGTCGATAGACAGACAGAGGAAGCAACTTAAATAAAAGCTTGTAAAAATGAAAAAATATTAATCGCAACAGCGCATTGACACAAAACATGCTCTTTGTCTAATTAAAAAAAAAAATAAGGCACCAATACAAATTATATGTTGAATACAGTAACAACAATACTGTTAGGGTTGTGTTTGTAGTTTTGGTTGTGTTTGTGTTAATGTCTTTATGTACAGGTTTATGTTTTTAATGTTTTTATGTTTATGTTTTTATGTTTATATCTATCTTTTGAAGCTCATGTTTTTAAGTTTTTATGTTTATGTTTACGTTTACGTTTATATGTATGTGTATGCGCATGTGTATGCGTATGCGCATGCGTATGCGCATGCGTATGCGCATGCGTATGCGTATGCGTATGCGTATGCGTATGCGTATGCGTATGCGTATGCGTATGCGTATGCGTATGCGTATGCGTATGCGTATGCGTATGCGTATGCGTATGCGTATGCTCATGCTCATGCTCATGCTCATGCTCATGCTCATGCTCATGCTCACGTTCACGTTCACGTTCAAGTTTACGTTCACGTTCATGTTTGTGTTTATAATTATGTTTATATTTATGTTTATGTGAGATCAATTTTACTTGAGATCATTTGTTCTGTCACCCTTTAATGATACCCTGTCTATATGGTTCATGTTGTGATGTTGTTACCAACAACACTGAGAATTAGCTGTTGGTATTTATCTACGGCGGATATTAAGCAACAACGGGCTACGTAAATTTGGTGGTGTGTGCAGTGATGCATGTCGGTCGGCCTACGTCACAAGCCCTACAACCCGGAAGTATCGCTGGCGGCTCGCTTTTATGTGTTACACTATACGTCCTTTATAACACTATACGTTCTTCATTATTTGTTATACTTTACTTATTGCTTGTTACATTATATCTTTGTTCTTTATTGTTTATGGTACTGTACGTTAGTTGTTTTTGGGATTTAACACTATGCGGTCTCTATTTTTGGTTTTACTTATTATACATAAGAGGAATGTAAATCGTGTTAGCATACACGTTCTGCATAGTTCGGTTTTACTTAAGCAGAATATAAAACCTTGTACAGATTTATTCATTATGTTTCGGTTGACAACACAGACAGTGTTTCTTTCAGACTTTTTTCTCGGGGATTCGGGGGGGGGGGGATGTACTTGATATTTTAGGAGGGGAGACGACTACATTTTTCTGATCGCGGACACTAGTAAAAGTATATATTTTTATATAAAAGTCCATTACCTTTGCGGGAAGCGGTAGACTTTCTTCACAACTGCCCTCCCCCCATCCCCCCTTCCCCGAAGAGATGCCTGGAAGAAACTCTGAACACGGACGTGCTGACACAAACACATACACAAACATACATTGACATACCCTGCTGGTTTAAAATTCAAAGGAACATGACAAGGACACGGTAGGCTGGACATAACAGCAGTGTGTACCTTAGTGGCCTGCTATAAATAGAATGGCCAGGAAAACTTGTTTCCCTGGAAGGTATTGCTAAGAGATCGAGTCGTGTGTCATTTTGTTGCGTTTTTCCATAAGGAGGGTGTGTTTCAGTCTTCTTGTTCTGGATTTATTGAATGATAATAATAGATCATATGTTATGTAAAACTTAGAGGAAATATTGCAATAAATAAAAGAAAATTTTAAATTGCGGTTTTGTAGATCAACACCATAATTAGCTACAGCACAAATAATCCATTCATTTTATTGATTTTTTGTTCCATTGCGAATCAATTTTTATCTGGTATTCATAACAAAAATATGTAGCATCAAAGACGCTAGACTAGTGTTATACAGTTGTTAAGAAAACATAGACTAGTCTCTACAGAGACACACCAAGAATCTGATAGATTTATATAAAAAAAAGATAGGGCTTGTTGATGATTTGTGTGTGCTACATACAGTGGTATGAAACGACGTGGCCTAAGCGGTAGAGCGCTAGACTGCTAACACTAAAATCTCAAGTTCGAATCCCAACTCATGCTAATGAAAGTAAAGGCGGCTGTGCAAAGTGCTGATCGCACATTCTCTTCAAACGCCGAGGTCTAGAGTCATATGAATTACTTCATCGGCCAATAGAATCGCTAGGTCTAAAAAAGGATATTTTACTTAATATTAAATAGTGTAGTGGTGTTGGTTAAGATGAATGTTAGAGAAAACCTACCTTAATAATATTTGTATACTTAAAGATCACATCTACTCGCTGTCTAATCCATCTACTTTTAGTGTAACACATCTACCTAATGTGAAACACATCCGATCATTGTGTAATACGTGACTTCAAATCAAGAAAAATGAACTTCAGCATTTCATTATTTATCATATTTGTCATCAAAGGTACTGTACGATTTCTTTATTTTTATAATTAATATATCTTTCAAAATTCCAAAACATGAATAACCTCTATTAATGTATTCTCGGGAGAATAATGTCTTCTACGATTTCTTGTATATCGCAGAAAACTTTCATGTAAAATCGAAAATCTAATTTGTTTGCTTGAGACTTTCATTTGCCCGGATCATAAAATATGTTTTACTATGTAAAATCCGTCGTAGTTTGGGTCCGTCTCATCAGACCACGTTTGAGATAATTTGCTTTCTAATGATGCTTTTGAATTCCTATGGATGTAGCGAGATTTCTGGTTGTTTTTTCTTTCCATCAGTTTTCGCCAGGTCTGCGATCTCGTTTGCTGGTATCTGCGAGTTGCCCGGGATCCACTGCAGCACATTCATGCTGCATGCATTTCTTAGCGTTTCAAGGGCTGTCCTGAGTGATTGAGTTTAGGATTCTGGATATTTTTAGAGACTGCAGGACAGATAAGAAAGACTATCTGTCTATTTGGGGAATTAGGGTGACCTGACTGGAGATTTGCTGCATCTTCTAAAGCTTCTTTCTTAGCTCTAAAATGTTTTTTTTTTGCTATTTAGTTGTTTTATTTTCTACTTTTCCGTAATTCATAATTTGTAAATTAAAAATAACAATGCTGCGACTGAAACTATTTTGCTTTAAAACACTATCAATACCTAGTGAAGGACAATTACCCTCACTCCCACTTTCAACTCCTCTCCCACCAACCCTCCCCCCCCCCCCCCACCCAGTGAAAGCAGACGTCCGTGACGACAGTTTACAGACGACAATTAAATGATCAAGCAGAACGTTTTACCTCGCGTTAGTTTTAAATAGTTTAAAAACGGAATTATCTAACCAAAATAGCCGACATTAATTCAACCCGGCTCTACAATTGTAAACATTAGGCGTGAACCACAGCTCACCAGACTGGTGGGTGTAGGTGGTAGCGAAATGGTCTGTTCCGCATGCCTAGAGAGCGTGTGAGGGAGCGGTTCGGCATGCGCTCCATGATCTCCATGATCATGATCTGCATGATCTCCATGTAGTTAATTATATATATATATATATATATATATATATATATATATATATATATATATATATATATATATATATTTATTTATTTATATATATATATATATATATATATATATATATATATATATATATATATATATATATATATATATTTTTATATATATATATATATATATATATATATATATATATATATATATATATATATATATATATATATATTTATTTATATATATATATATATATATATATATATATATATATATATATATATATATATATATATATATATATATATAAAACATAGAGAGAATAGAAGAAAGTCTGATGAAATATATAAGAAGGGTTTCATCAATGCGTTACCAGTCCTATAGTCTTAGACGCGAGCCCTTGTTTTCTAAAACTGAGTTATTTAAATGAAAACAATGCCTACGCTTCGATCATAATTATCGGGACACGGGCTTACATACATTACCGCATGAAAACCTTGAGTGTACTTTAATTACTCACCGAAATAATATGGTAGAACACACTCAAGGACGTAGAGGGGCGCTCTCGGGAGTCCCAAATTACACCACCGCAGAGGCGCCTTGTAAGGCCCCTTGCTACTTAAAACTAATTTAGGCGCCATTGTGCTCATAGGATAACCCAGAGTGCCAAATAGCATCCTGGTTACAATGGTGCAGATTGCGGCATTTGCTATAGTGACACAAATGAACAGGTTTTTTTTAAACACGTAAAAAAAATTCTTGACGTGTTTTAAGCATCAGTATAACTGATGCCATATGTTAGCGTTACTTATGGTCTATTATTACATGCTCGATGTCTGGTTGGATCACTTTAATTACTCACCGAAATAATATGGTAGAACACACTCAAGGACGTAGAGGGGCGCTCTCGGGAGTCCCAAATTACACCACCGCAGAGGCGCCTTGTAAGGCCCCTTGCTACTTAAAACTAATTTAGGCGCCATGGTGCTCATAGGATAACCCAGAGTGCCAAATAGCATCCTGGTTACAATGGTGCAGATTGCGGCATTTGCTATAGTGACACAAATGAACAGGTTTTTTTTAAACACGTAAAAAAAATTCTTGACGTGTTTTAAGCATCAGTATAACTGATGCCATATGTTAGCGTTACTTATGGTCTATTATTACATGCTCGATGTCTGGTTGGATCGTCTAAAAATAGGTGCTAATTGCATCTTTCGCAAAGTGACAAAACTGCCCTACCAGGGCACCAGAGGGCACGCCTGATTCAATTTAGTGAGCGACTGTAAATCCCCATTTTATCAATTGTCTATCGCACTGTTTAGAAAGAAAGCAGGCGCCATTGCGCTCAGGAGAAAGCCCAGGGCGCTAAATCGAATCCTACAGAGGCACGGGGGGTTACGCTGGTTCGATTTACTCAACGATTATTGTTGCCCATTGTGTATTTAGTGGATAGCCTTTTTTAAAAACTAAATAAGGCGCTATAGTGCTCGCAAGGGAGCACGGGGCGCTTCGTGTCGTGGTGCCAGCGGTTGCGCCTGTTGAATTTTTAACGCTGAATATAGTAGTACCCCTTACCTGCATTGCAGGATAAACGATAAACGGATGCCAAGTGCTAATATAGCCGCCGTGGAACTCTGGGCGCCAAATTGTGTTAGGACAAAAAATCGCAACCTCCCGGGCGCCGCCTATGTCATTTTTTAATTATTTTGTTCACAGAAATCATCTCGTAAGTATTCTCAACAACTCCTTGAAGTTTTATAGCACTCGGATAAAAGGTGCCAAAACGTATCCGACTTTCTTTTTACTTTCTCGTATATACGAAGTATAGAGAAAGTCTTGTAATCGTGCAAAAAAAAAAATCGAGATTTTTACAAATCTCGACGTTTCACACCTCACTGATACGGAAAAACATAATTTTGCAATCTTGTCCGTATGTCTGTGTGTCTGTCTGTGTGTCTGTCTGTCTGTCCGTGTGTAAATACGATAACTTGAGTACCGTTACAGCTAGGTTGATGAAATTTCATATATAAGTATTTTATCAAAATCGTAGATCCGTATCAACTTTTGAGCGATTTCCGATAACCGGAAGTGGTACTTTTCCTACTTTGAATTTTTCACAAGCCTATAACTTGAGTACTATTTCAGATAGATAAATGAAATTTCACACGTAAGTAAAAGATCTAATTCTCTACCTTCTGTTAAATTTTGAGTAATTTTCGTTGACTGGAAGTAGTACTTTATGCTACTTCCGATTTCTCAAAAAACTAATGTAAATTTTAAAAGTACTAATAATATTGCGCACTATTATGCGCTTTTTTATTTGCGTTCATTTGGTGTGCAATTAATTTGTCTACGAGATTTTGTTCTTTTTTTAAAACTTTAAGTATTTAAAATGGATTAAAAATCATGTCTATAGCCCGAGCTCCCATCCCCTGTTATTTTATATAAGAATATTCGAGAAAGTTTTGGGGAGATCACTCCCGGTTTATTTTATATACCGTATATAGAGAAGAATCGTACCCTCCTTGCGAAATTAAATTTTTTTTACAGAATTATAGTATAAAAATTCATTTGTGACGTCACGAGTAAATAGCTAAGTTGGTAGCGTAGTCCGCTCTTATGCGGGTGGCACAGGTTCTAGACCAATATGTCAATGATATTTTTTTTTCAATTTTTTTTTTTTAGATGTGAATGATAAAGTTGCCTATCTGAACTTGGCAGGATACAGGGCAGGTGAAGTATAGTTCATCTGTTTCTTTGTCCTAAGCATATGAAAGGATAGTGTGGTCAGAGACATGCTCGGCTGGAATCGTTTTTTATCTTAAATTAGCCAAACAAAGATTTATATAAAATAATTAAGGCCTGAAATAGATTCTAGATGTATTAAGGCCTGAAATAGATTCTAGATGTAGAATTTACATTAAGTCTAGATCTAGAATTTACATTGAGTCTAGTGACCTAGATCTAGGCTAGATCTAGATCTAGGCTAGATTCATAACTTTCCTTCGACAGCTGATCTTTAGATCTAGAGAAATTTATTGTAAAACTAAATGAAAAAAGACAGTTGAAAATTGATATAAGTGTTGGAACGTAATAAATACAGCAAACGGACGTATTGTTAAAGTTATGACCGACAGAAAATTAGATTTAGAACGCGTTAAACTTTTGAATGGGAACACAATTTTCTTCGATAGACGCCGCCATTTTATTGTACTAAAGAGTAAACAAAAAACTGTGACGTCACGGTCCCGCCGAGTGTATTGGTCGTTCTAAACTTTTTAAAAAAATAGGGTTACTCTACGTATGAATACATCAATAAATTAATTAACGTCTTTAAAAAATTATTCTCTACCTACATACTATTTTACAGCTCTCCAGATAGAGTAGAACATATCACAATACTCGATCGGACAAACAAAACAAAAAAACAAATAAATATTCAAACATGTAAACAAAGTTGAGTTTTAGTAGTATTAGATACCGTATAAAGAAAAAACTTAGAAATATTTTTTTTTGCAGAAACCTTTCCAGGTGTATTCTTATTAACTCCCCAAAATTTGATGGCGATCGGATAAACGGTGTCAAACCGCTATCGACTTTTATTAAAATATACCGTATATAGAGAAAAACCGTATCCCCCCCCCCCCCCTTTGCAAAATTAATTTTTTTTTTTACAGAAACCTCACCTTGCGGGTTTTAATCAACTCCCCAAAGTTTGATAGTAATCGGATGAACGGTGTCACACTGCAATTGACTTTTAGTTTTATACACCGTATATAGAGAAAAAACTATCCGCGACCCGCCGGGGCACCACCCCTGCGAATTTGAATTTTTTTCCGCAGAAACCTCTCCAGTAGTATTCTCAACAACCAACTTCCCAAAGTTTCATGGAGAACCGATGAAAGGTTTAGTAATGCATATTAGACAAACAGACACACACACACACACACACACACACAGAGAGAGACATACTTACATTATGGCTGAGTTTCTTACTCTAGCTAGTAATACTGAATATCTTATCCGATCCAGTTTGACTGTACATGAAATTTCATTATCGTTGAAACAGCCACGTTGACTGAATCAATGACCTACACACTGAACAAAGGAGACCCATTCATCTGTTATTGTGAGATATCAACCAAACTAAGCCTGGAATGGATACTACAAAAAGTCAACGGGCAGGAGATCAGCCTGGTCAGGGAGTGCTACACGCCATTCACCAGTTGTGACATCCGGTATGATCCAGGTAGGTAGAACTTCTATTTTCTGATAACTTGAGTACGGTTCAAGCTAGGTTGATGAAATTCCATATCAGTTTTGTATCACACTTGTAGTTCTGTATTAACTTTTCAGCGATTTCCGGTAACAAGAAGTGGAACTTATTCTACTTTTGTTTTTCAAAAGTCTATAACTTGAGTGCTTTTCAGATAGGTAAACGGAATTACACACATGTAAAAGCTCTAATTATATGCCTTCTTGCAAGTTTGAGTCATTTCCGTTGACAATTGGTAGTACTTTACGCTATATCCGAATTATGAAAAAACGCAAATAAATGAACAAAATAATTATATTCCGCACTTTTATACACACATTGTTTGTACTTCACTTAGTGCGCAATTATTTTTTCTTTTAGATTATATTATATTTTAAAATGTTTTTAGCAGTAAAAAATTGATTAAAAATCATGTCTATATCCTGTTCAGCATTCTCCGTAGTGTTATATAAGAATATTTTAAAAAGTTTAGGGGAGATCACTCACACTTTTTTAATTTATTAAATTTGAACCTGATACTATTTTAAAGTACACCAGTAAACAAGGGGTTGAAACTTCATAGAATTCCAGTGGTGCTCTTAAAACAGGCAGAGAAAAGAAAGTAACATTTTTTTCTTTTAACCGTTCTTTTTTTCACGCACGGTTTACATAGCTCGGTCGTCAGACAAGATGCGGCCTAGAAAACAGATTTCGAGCGCATGAATTTCGGAATAGCAGGCCCGCTTACAGCCACTGGTCCAGAATTATGTTGAAATTTTATGTAAATTACAGTGCAAAGTTGTGAGCAATAATCAACAGCCTCGATTTGACACGAACTCTTATCCAGTAGATACCTATTTATTTTCTTTCCTCAGCGAATTTTACACTAGTGACTGAAGCTCGATATGCATTCATGCACGATTCGTCTCTACCTCAGTCTTTTGAATCTAGACTGACAGTGAAGCATGTGGACAAAGATATGCGACGTGTATTTTGTACCAACGATGTTTTATATGGACGAGACAGATGCTGGATGAATGTTGTGGATTACGTTCCTCGTAAGTTTTGTTATAACATTCTAATTGAGGTTCGATATTTACTTTCGGTAGTTTTTCATAAACTTTCTATAGACATTTTTTTTTGTTTTCTGTAGACTGTTATATGTAATTTTTATTGGCGTAGTTTCGGTAAAGCTAAAAAAAAATCTCGCGTTCGCACCTTCTGGGCAGATGAGGCTCGATAGCTGGGCCACTCTTCGAGGAGAGATAACTCCAAAATCAAGCAACTGCTGCTTTGTAGTTTGTTCTCAGTTGAACACAAGTTATGGAAACAAATCCAAAACGAAAAGCAGACTGAAATCTGAGTCAACTCTCTAAAAGTTGCATAACCAGTTGAAACGTATTCTTTATTGTGTTGGGGGGAATCTCTCAACACTAAAATTAAGAACGAAGAAGAAGTTGTAACTCTTTAGGTTTAAATAGCATCCTGATATTTTTAGATATGCTCAACATGTTTTTGTTGTACATTCTGTACACAGCTTGTTGTTAGTTTGATTAAACGTTCTATAGATCTCTAGATTTTAGATGTAGTTTTGTTATTATTCAAAGTCCAAAAAGGATTGGTCATTTTCTTTTAGAGATTTGCTAAGAAAATTAATGCAAAACAAAGTATTTTAGTAAAATAATAATTGCACACTTGTTATAAAATATACATTTCACATGCACAGTGTGTAATAGTTTTTGGACAAGTACTTGTTGTGTTTTAAATCTATAAAGTATGACAACATATTTTTTTTTCAGCTGACGACGGCACTTCCAAGAGCCCAACAACATATTCACCACGATTGCCTTCAACTACCCAGTCCTCGGTCTCCATTAATGCAGGTCTGGTGTTTAGCTGCTCAATTTTACCTTTTGTAGGCGTGATAGGCATTTCTATACTGGTTAATTGCTTTATTAACCGCTGGAGTAATCGTAAAGCTTTACAAAGGCGAAATGAAGCCATGCCTGCTACTAGTAATACGCCTCAGTTAACGCCAGTAACGGTTCCTAGATCTTATCAAAATGAGCAGTGCTCAACAAACGTCAACCCACTAGTTTATCCAAGTAACAACACACCAGTCACCCAGTCGCCCCAGCACACAGCATCAATACAGAGCCCTGCCCCAAACGACTCACCACCGCCGTATTCCAGTCTAAATGAACTAAGAGTCGAACCGCCCCCATACACGATACTGCCAGCTGAAAGCTACAACTGCGAGTCTGCTCCATCGCAACAAGCACAGAATGTTCCTCCTCCATACACGACAACATACATTGCGACATACAACAGTGTGTCTCCATCGGCCCAACAACAAGCAACCACTGAACCGCCACCACCGTACTCAGGTACACGTTTGTTTATAGAGCATATGTTAATGTGCTGATTATTTAAATCATTTAGTGCTTTCACAAGGCAGGTATCCAGGCCTACAGACAGACACACAACTGACAGACATGAGACTTGACGGACTGTAAGAAACAAGATGATTCGGAAAATTGACTGATTGACTGACAAACGACAACGAAAACTTGGCGGATACACTGAAACATTGAGGACATTTTACGCAAAAATTGTCAATAATATCCTAACAGATGAAAAAAACCATGATTAAAAAAACAAAAAAAGTAATCTATAGATTATTGCGTATCACAATGTTAGATTGTATTCCCGATGACTTCAAAGTAAATATTTTCTATGCTTGCATTTTAATTAACTATCTCAAATGTTTTCTACTTCAGTGTGGCATACAAGCTGAAACTCCACAAATGGTCTTCGTTGGATGAATGATGTTATCCTGCATACTTTATCATGAAGCTAAAATTTCTGTTTTCTCTATCAATTAAAATGTGTCTATATTCTTCAGTATTATTTTAACTTGTTGCTAATGGAATAAATCATTATTGAATTTTTACCTGTAAATACCATGAATTTTTACGGTAATTTTTTTCCTTGTGTTGGTTTTCGTAAATAGTGTAGGTTAAATATCTATATATTCCATCAGTCCAATTCTCTATACCATGGCACCTAAATGGATTGAGATAATGGCGAAGGTCACGTTTGCTTTATACACATTAAAGTTGTGACTATCGATATATGATTACGTGATATTTCAACCTGTTTGGTCATTAAAACGTGTTGTAGAATTGTGTTCTGCATCGAGTGCCATTTTTCGAACTCTAATAAAACGATGTATTAAAATCATTTAGCTGTTGATTATTTTGTGATAACAGTAAAGTTTATAATTAAGACGAGCCGTTAGACTCAAGACATTTGAAGCCTTTTCTAAGTTGAAATGTTAATTGTAATATGTATGTGCGATTGAATTTTAAATATGTAAACAGCCATGCATAAAACTACGCCCAAAAAAAAAAAAACACTTAGACTTTTACTGGATTTAAAAATTTGACAATTAAAATAACTGAAATAAAATATTGGAATGATATGTGAGATTATATAGCTTTGTGCCCGCAGGTCTGTGTTTAGACTTACTTCCAAGGCATCTCTGCGCCCCTACACCCCCCCCCCCCAACATAATGGAATTTAAATATTAAACATATACAGTGTCCGCACACAGGACAATTTAATCGTCGTCGTCCCCCCCCCCCCCTAAAATGTCAAGTGCCGCCCCCCCCCCCCTCACCTAGAGAAAAAAGTCTGAAAGAAACAATGTCTATGTTGTAAACATAAATCACAATGAATGATTCGTACAAGGTTTAAGCAAATAACGAAGAAATATAGTGTTATAAAGACCGCATAGTTCAACACATAAAGCGAGCCGCTAGCGATACTTCCTGGTTGTAAGGAACGTGACTTAGGCCGACCGACTTGCATCACTACACCACACCATGAAATGTATGTAGCCCGTTGTTGCTTAACATCCGCCTTAGATAAATACCAACAGCGACAACGTCACAACATGAACCATATAGACAGGGTATCATTAGAGAGTGATATTATAAATGATCTCAGGACAAGTGATCTAAGACAAAATATCCCAGGCAAAATATCTCACGGAAAAATTATCTCAGGGCAAAAGATATCAGGACAAATGATCTCAAGGTCAAATGATCTCAAGAAAAAATGATCTCAAATCAACATATAGACATAAACTTAATTATAAACACAAACACAAACACGAACACAAACACAAAACAAACACGAACACGTGAACGTGAACGTGAACGTGAACGTGAACGTGAACGAGAGCGCGAGCATGAGCATGAGCATGAGCATGAGCATGAACATGATCATGATCATGATCATGAACATGAACATGAACATGAACATGAACATGAACATGAACATGAACATGAACATGAACATGAACATGAACATGAACATGAACATGAACATGAACTTGAACTGGAACTGGAACTGGAACAGGAACAGGAACAGGAACAGGAACCTGAACCTGAACAGGAACAGGAACAGGAACTGGAACAGGAACAGGAACAGGAACAGGAACAGGAACAGGAACAGGAACAGGAACACGAACACGAACACGAACACGAACACGAACACGAACACGAACACGAACACGAACACGAACACGAACACGAACACGAACACGAACACGAACACGAACACGAACACGAACACGAACACGAACACGAACACGAACACGAACATGAACATGAACATGAACACTTCTAACTGACAGATTCGTTTCAAAGTCGGCACGCAGGTCAAGAAATGGAGACAATGCAATCTGACATTATATTTGAATTAATTGGATGCATAATTAATTATTTATGAATTAATGCAAAGTTTAAAAAAAAACTATTTTTCCAACTTTTCCGCACTATTATACGCGCGTTATCATGATTATCTAAACACAGAGCTGCGGGCACAAACACATAAACAAACGTACATTGACATACCCGGCTAGTTCAAAATATAAAGGAAAACAGCATGGACACGGTCGGCTGGACATAACAGCAGTGTGTACGTTAGGGGCGTACTATAAATAGAATGGCCAGGAAAACCTGTCGCCCTGGAAGGTATTGCTAAAAGACCGTGACGTGTGTCATTTTCTTGTGTTCTTTCATTAAGGAAGATGTGTTTCAGTCTTTCTGTGCTAGATTCAACGAGTTATATTGTTAGATCATATTGGTTATGTAAATAGAAAGTACATTTTATGTAAAACTTAGAGAAAATAGTGCTATATATTAACGATATGTTTTGAAAAACTTAAAAATTAAGATTTCTCTATCGACCTAACGAACATAAAGCAGATGAAGTAGAGTTCATATGTTTCTTGACCTAGGCATATACATTGATAATATGATCAGCACTATGCCCAGCAATTGCGGTTTGTATATCACCCGATAAATTAGCTTCAGCACAAATAATTGATTGATATTGATTTTTTTCGTTCCAATCAATATTTATTTGGTATGTAAAGCAATAATATGTGGCATCAATGGCACTAGAATAGTGTAATACATGTATTAAGTAAAGATAGACTAGACTCTATAGAGACATACCAATGATCTTATAGATTTATAATAGAAAATAGGGCTTGTTGATGATTTTTTTTGTATTATTGTGCTATAGAGAGTTGTTTGAGACGGCGTGGCCTAAGCAGTATAGTGCTACACTGCTAACTAGAAATAATCATATGAATTTGACTTTATTTGCCAATTGGTCACTAGGTCTAAAAAGAATTCTTTACTTTAAATATAGTGTATATTTTGGTTAAATTAAGATGCACGTAAGATAGCATTTACGTTCATAATAATTGCATACTTAATTAGCGCATCATGTAACTGTGTAATCCATCTACTTATAGTGTACCACATCTAACATATGTTAAACACCTTCTATTAATGTGTAAAACCTGACCTCAAATCAAGAAAAATGAAATTCAGCATTTTATTATTAATCATTTTTGTCATCAAAGGTACTGTACGATTTCTTTATTTTAAATAATTAATTTTATCTTTTGAAATTTCAAAACTATATTTTACTTTGAAGAAGAGTGATTTCTTCTACAATTTCTTGTATATTGCCGATTTTTTAAAAGTAAAATCGAATATTTTACGTGTATACATGATATTTTTGGGGTTTTACTTTTACAAAAAAAAACACACTCCTGCAAGGATTATATTTGTTGTAGTTTTCAAAATTTAACTGGTTAATTTAAATGGTAAAATTATTACTTTTTTAACTTTAAAATGACATTCTTATACATTTTCAGTTTATACCAGGCAACTTTAATACTCTCAAATTTCATACATTTTAAATTTAAATTTTACCCATTACAATCATGTCTTTCAGCTCGTTTAAAACTCACAAAATAATAGGTTTTGTGCCAAAATTTAATTACAAGTAGACTACCTGTTTTTCTTAAATATTCGTGTTTTTCAAGGTCATCCATAAATGACGTCATGTTCTTTTGATCTTTTTTACCTTTTCCCTCTTCTCACTATTATCACTTATTATTACAAAAAAAAAAACAACAACATAGTCCACATTAAAAAAGACGACACACCTCATACGTTTTTGTCTTTTAAAACACCTATGTCGGCTGAGCATGGGTCTGACCACACTTTCCCTTACGTGCTTCGGTCACAAAAAAAAATCAACTCTACTTCATCTGCCCAGTGTACCGCCAACTCAGACATGTTTTTGTCTTTTGAAACAACGATTTCAGTTGAGTATGGGTATGACCACACCATCCCTTCACAGGTGAACCCTACACCTACCCACTCTACTTCACCTGCCTAGTGACCCGCTAAATCTCAGACAGCATGTTTTTATCCTTAAAAAAATATCTCGGCTGAGCATAGGTCTGACCACACTATCCCTACTTATGCTGAGGACATAGAAACAGGTGAGCTTTACTTCACTAGCCATGTGTCCCGCCATGTCCCGATAGGCAACTTTATCATTCACAACTTTAAAAAATATTGAAAAGAAAATTAACATTGACATAATGTGTCTCGGACCCATACCACCCGCGTGATAACTATTACACTAACATCTAAGCTATTTAGGCTCTAACTATAAGACGCAAAATTATTGCTATAGTAAACTTAGTGTCTGCGTAAGAAACTCGATTTACGCGAATAGGCCCTAGTATTATTTCAAATAAAATATGATCCAAATTAACCAATTCCAAAGTTAAACAAACAAACACATATAAAATATTTAAGGTCTGAAATAATTTAGTATGGAAACTCATTATTGGCATAGATTCCAGATCTAGATAGGGCTAGAGATCTAAATCTAGAATCTACGACTGGCTTAAGTCTAGTTTTTCCGTAGCTCTAGATCTAAAATCGAGATAGATAAATCCCTTGTATTCTTAAATTAGATGATCATTGAAGCTAAAAAGCAAAGATTTATATCAAATATTTAAGGACTAAAATATTTTAATAAGAATCTTAATAATTTTTCGTTTTTAAATACTTGTTTTTATTTTTAACTAATTAATTTTGGTTTGACCTAGATTCTAGATCTATAACTCCCTTCCTCCGACAGCTTATCTGTAGATCTAGAGAAATTTATTGTACACTTAAATTAGAAGAACTGTTGAAAATTGATAATAGTGTTGGAACCTAATAAAAATAGCAAACGGACGTATCGTTAAAGCTATAGCCAACAGAAAATCGTTAGAATTTTGAATGGGTATCATGCTAGTAACCATATTATGGTAAAAAGTAAACGAATCATGTGACGTCACTATAACTAAAGTCATTGTTCGGAACTTTCATAATTAGATTGTTGTTTCTACCAATGAATATACCAATAGATTAATCTTACGACCCTTAACTTAATTTGTGATCAACAAATTGTTAAAAAAAACATTATTATGTACCTAAATACTTATTTTACAGCTCTACACTTATTGCAGATTCTCTCCTCTAACCAAACAGACAAAAAAGCAACAAAAAATATAATTATACAAACATGTAAACATGTAATGTATATATATATATATATATATATATATATATATATATATATATATATATATATATATATATATATATATATATATATATATATATATATATGTCTACCATTTAGAACTGTATATGGCTAAATGCACAATTTTAGCCTGTGTTTTAGTCTGTGTGATTTAATATTTCTATGTATTCATAATGTCTGAATATCTTATTATAATATTTAAAGCTGAAAAGCAATAGTAG